GCCTTGATGAATTCCCGTGAGCAGGGAAAGCAGAACTTGTGTCCGGGCACCGAGGGGCACTGGACGAAGTGGGTGTCTTCTAGCCGCTCCCGGCACAGGGTACAGCACAGGGGGGTCCCAGGGGTCGCCCCAGTGCCACTACCACCCCCGCTCACAGCTTCAGCCCCAGCTGTGGGACTGACTTCTGCCTCACCGTTGCGGGCCACTAGACGATGCTGGGTTGGAGGCTGGGCCGTAGAGGAGGCTGCGGGGCTGGTGCCTCCTGCACGCACAGGACCCCCACCCCCACCAGGGTCCTTGGGTGAGTGGCCCAGGGCCTCGGCCACATTCTTCAGGGCGGCAATGGGTGAGGGCACACCAGGGGTCTCAGTGGAGTATGGGCCGCCAGGTGCCACCCAGTGCCGTTGCTGCTGCTCTTCGGTGGTCATCTTCCCAGCCGCTTCGCCCTCGGGCTCAGGGGATGCCTTGCGACGCCGTGGCGTGGGTGCCAGGTTCCTGGATGGGGCTCGCGGAGGGGGTCCACATAGAGCTGCAGGGGCCGGCTCTGGGTACTGCTGGGGCAGGGCCTCCGCGGGAGCTGGTTCGCGGAAGGTGCGGACACCGTCGGTAAGCAGCTCCCCCAGCTGGCGCCATTCCCCTGAACCATGCCGGCGTTCATATTCGAGGTACTTGAAGCCAGATGAGGCCAGTGCCTTGCCTGGCTCCCGCAGAGCATCATGGAACATCTGGCGAGCCACGGCCAGGACCCCTGCATACACATTGCCAGAACCACAAGGGTATTCAGTGAAGAGCTTCAGCTCGAACTCGTAGCCTGGAGGGCGGGCAGCAGCATCAAAGGCGAACACCCGCCCCACCAGCCCGTGATCTTTCTTGAAGCGGACATTGAAGGGGGCACAGGCGGACAGCGCCAGTAGCTGTTCCCGCACAGCTTTGGGGCGCCCGTGCCACTCCTCTGCCCGGCCCCGCATGGCCTCGTTGAGTTCTGCCAGACAGTCTGCATTCCTCTGCTGCTTCTCCTTCTCAAAATCGGAACCGAAGATTGGACGGGCAGGACTCAAGCCGGGTGCCAGCGTCAGGCCTCGGGCTCCCAGGCCAGACACCGCAGCTGCCAGCAGCCCGGGGGGCATCAAGCCGGGCATGGAGCCAAGCAAGGCCCTTCTCGCCCCCTCAGCCACAGCCTCCTCACGGCCTAGCCCATTGGCCAGGCGGGACCCTAGGGTGTACTCCAGGGCGGGCGAGGGCAAGGGGAGTCGGGCTGACGATGTGGCCCTGTCATAGCGGTCCTGGCCCGAGACGCTGCCGCCGGTCCCCGACGGCTGGGGCTGGGGCTGCGGGGGAGGAAGTTGGGGCCCCTGTGCAGCGGCCGCAGCCAGGTCCTTGGTGGCTGGGTGCTTGAGGGCCGGGGGTCCGGGCGAGCGGCCCTCCGGGAGCACGTGGCTGCGCTTGAGCTGGCGGGCAGCATCAATGAGCAGCTCAATGCGGTCTGCGCCCTCAAAGTTCACGCAGCCGCGGCACACGGCCTCGCTGAAGTCCCACACCATGGCCCACGGCATCTTGGGCAGGTCGCACAGGTAGCACCACTGGCGGCGGGACGCCTGCACAGACGCCATGGCCCCTGAGCGCGCACCGCCGGGCCCCCGCGTTCCACCCGCAGACGACGTTCGATCCGCGCCACCGACGTTCAAATCGCGTCCCCGGGAGAGCGCGAGCCACAATCCGGCCTCTGGCTCGGCCTCCCCGCCGGATCCAGGCCCGGCCCCCCTTCCCCGCCCCCTGGGCCCTAAGCCTTTTTCCTTACTCCCGCCTCCCTTGAAGAGGCGGGCAGAGGCACGTCGGTGCCCCCGCCCGGTACGGGCGTCAA